AAAGCACGCGACAAATGCACTTCCGAACAATCCCAAAAATAAACAGGACATCGTAGACCATGTATTAGGGTCGAAAGAATCCAATGGTCGAAAACACTGAACGCATCCACACATAGACATACGTAGCTGAAAAGGAGACAGTGATACAAGCATGATACTCTAAAGTGATACAAGTAGCTGTTACTGAACTTGCGTACGTATTACGTGCACCACCACCACCACCCTCGTTCGCCTTGTCCCGCTCCAGAAAAGCCACAATAGCTAAACCTGCGTCGGACCCAATGAGAACTGAGGAACAGAAACACCAGTGCGGCTGTGCGAGGGAAGCGAACATCACATACACACACACAATGGTGGCATCAACACTGATGGGCGATACGGTGACTATAATCGAACCAGATTAGATAGCCGATGCGTGTTCCTCCCATCCAGACACTCACAAAATAAAAGGCGTGCGAGCGAGAGAAGAGGAGAACAAAGTGACAGATCATACCACCCTATTTGGTTTCGTTTGTTGTCAGAGCGGTTCGGGGGTAGAACTGGATTGGGAGTCAGAAATGAGGAAGTAGCGACGCCTGGAAGATAAGAGCCAAGCATGAGAAGGCTGTAATGCACGACTTAAAAAGAAACCGGATGCGGTCGGGTGAATTGAACTGGTGCAATACCGCTTGATGAGTTTGTGTGACGCATGTTAGAATAAACACGCATAAACGTTGGATGGTGTTTTCTCATTTGTTAGTCGCGCGTCTCAGAGTGTGGTGGTGGTTAGTGATCGAAGGTTGTGATTTAAGGACAACTTTAGAATCCTTAGTTGAAACTAAATCAGAACAAGCAATAGTGATACCAATGGCTTTGCTATCACCAATCAACAGGGGGCTCCATGTGCTCATTCCAGTAGTCCCCACGACTGCTATTGATGCAGCCGAACAATTAGCTCTCGTTACAACAGGATCTGTCTGTTTGACAACTGATCACACAAAGGTGTGGACAAGAAAGGAATCAAAAATGCATTTGACCGCAGTGGATCCTCGAGGCTCAAGCATGAACGAAACAAAATTGCCTATTCTCGCTCAGTAGACTAGCGCCCATAGTATGCAAATGGTGTGTGCTAAATCAAGCCACGGATCAGGTGATCACTTCACGTGCTCCCTGCTCACGTTTCATGTAGCCGTAATGGAAAAAGTGAGGATGCCGTGAATTTAGCCATCGACGAAAGTGAACAGTAAGGACGATAATTTGCAATCAGTCAAACACAGTTGATGATTCAATGTCCACTGCCCATACTTTGAGGACCCACTTTGCTCCCCAACTTCTCCCCCCCCCCAGTGATTCTTGATGCATTATCACCTGATCAACCTCACGCGAACTAACGGTAGTACGAGAACTGAGTTTCACCCTTACAGTCTGAGTATAGCAAACCTCGTATGACTTGTGAGCTGTGCTCGGCTGCTGTTATTTGGTTCTGTGAGTTACAATCACTGAACAATATCCACAACGGATTACAGTGTTTTCCTTGCCCCCCGGTCATCTGCACCTCGTTCTCGTATGTACTGCAGATCCGTAATCTTTTTGCTCAGCCCCTCGTAGACTGATCTGGCGATACCCTTAGTGGATAGAATAAAACGTGGACACCATCTGTCATATGGAAAACGTGAAAAGAAAACTTAGTTCCTCGGAGCTGAGTGATTTTTCCGACCAATGAACATAAAAATTATTACAGTTGTAATGATAAGCCTTTTCATTTACCCTTGGCTGAATGAAAAGAAATGTTTGATCAAAGGTCTGCGGTTGAATACAATGAAGTAAGATAATGGGCAGATAGTGACAGGGTTCAAACACGCAACTTCAGAAGCGAGGTGATGGA